TAAGAATTAAAAATAGACAAAATATAAACGTATTTTAGTGGGGCCCCTTAATTGTTGTCATTTAGATCGGATTATATTGTCGATGGGCTCACCATTTTAGTGACCCGAGATCTGACTCCAATTAGATTATAATCTGAATCATAATGGAACGATCCGACGGATGGATCAATGAGGAGAGTTGATATGAGGACAAAGTATCGATAAGATAATATTATCTGAGCATGTCCATGTTGTGCTGCAAAGGCTTTGCTGAGTGCGTCGGATTGGAGATTGCGCTAGATTCGCTGAATTCGTTCGTCGAAAGTATAGAATGCAGAAATTTCTCCATCAACGTAGCTTGCTGCCTTGAGTTTGTCGTCATCAGCGTGCTCACCACTTTAATGGCCAGGGATCTGACTCCAATTAGATCGTATGAATATTTTTTATTAAATGATTGCTGTCGAAATATATATGTCACCTAACGTCATATATAATCATCGACTTAAATCGCTTTAGTCAATGACGGAACTAAATACGTCAAATAACAAGAATGAACTTTCGAATACATATATTTTGTATATGAGACGAATGGAATAGAGCGAAGCGAAACGACGCGCAGTAGAGTTGGCTTACCCGGCATCTCCATTACGCGTCATTTTTGCTTTGCTCTCTTCTCTTCGTTATTCCAATATTTTGTCTGGATCAAAGATTTTATGAAATATACGTATTCGAAATTCATTCTCGTATTTGAGTTAATCCCATAATTGACTAACGTGATTTAAGTTGATGATTAAATACGAGGATTGATGATATGTCTATTTTGACAACAATCATTCAATAACAAACATTCATCAAATTCTATCACAAATATAAATCAATAAATTTCATTTCTGTCATCCAAAAGTTGAACTCTTATCATATGACTTCAAGGTATTCGATTCAATCCTTATTTTGGTGGAATCATGTATGAATACTATTAAGGGATACTGTTGTACAAGGATGATACAGTTGTATAATGCTACTTGATGTATGTTTGAACAAGGTTAGTTCATAATTTTTACAAATTTCTTACCATAACAAACTGGAGTTAAATTTACAACTACTAAATGTGTGCAGTAACTCCGCCTTGAGTTACTCCAGGAGCTACTGACGGTCCCAAGCTCGGATAAAGGAGGAGAGTTGGGCATAGGGTTACCGATACTATCCCGTAGATAACTAACTCGCTAAAAAACACACCAACTAGAAAATGTTTGCAGTAATGAAACTTTATTTCGTAGTTGTACTACATACACTATTGCATAAACAAATTGCGGAGGACCAATTAATTAACTGACAACTTTAATAACTTTACTACCTCTACCATTAAAGGATTGGAATTGACAATTGCATCTCTGAACTAATGTGGTCTGGTAACTCGAACTGTTGTAAGTACGTACGAAGTTCAACTTAGTTGACTGACTTACTGACTGACTGAACTTTAATATGATATTTCTTGTAAATTAAATGCACCAATGTTTGATAAGGTATTAGGGTAAGTCAAGTGACAATCTTGTCAACTTAAACTGTGGAGAGTAAGCATAATGAAACTGTATGTTTAAATTCAATGGCTGATGATAATAATCCGTTATAAATTTTGTCTCCAAATGAAGTACATTTCAATATTAGTTTAACATTAGTAAAAGAAAGTTGTTGAGATGTTAGCTAGTTGGAGGTAATTAGTTGGATATCTTGATCGACTTTGTTTTTCATGCTAGTTGGCAATTGTCAGCACAAAACATAGAAAGACTATAATTTATGGGCGAACTAATCAGATTTACGACAACAGATCTTAGATTTTAACGAGAAACTCATTCATCCATTTTGCTAAATAGAGTTTTGGCATTATAGCTGATATCCGTTCGTGATCAAAACCCCAAAATCTAAGTCCTAACCCTACCCATCAAAAGTAAATCATAATTGTAATTCCTCACGCTGATTTATAATCCTCATCTGGTTCTAGTTATTAGGTGAGCACTCTCAAGATCATTTTAGCGTCTCTCAATGGTCGTCCATAAATTATAGTCTCACCAGAAGATATACATACCATTGTCATAGTCCTTCATAAGTTTCACATTGTTTAAGTTGTACATAATTTATTAAAGTGATTATACATACACATATGTTAAACCGGATTATTAAATTTAACAGAATCTAATGCATAGGGATTAATGATCATTCAGAAAGAATGTTAGCTTAGAAGTTTGTATACATCGACTTACCCTTGGTACAGTGACTATAACATACTAAGGTAAATGAAGATCCTTATTTCTAAAGTGTTCATGGTTTCACCAATAAAATAAGATGTCATACAGCCTAATTGGTTTCTCTTTAATTTTATCCAGATTTTTCAACTTCACTTATATCTAAAAAATTCCCTTATTTTATAAACGTTTATCAATATATCTCTTAACTTAGTAGATAGATTCATGAGTCGATTTCCGCTAGGCCACTATAGAAAACCTAGAAGCATTAGATAAACGTTTCGTCTTAATATAGGACTACTCAGTAGTACGTATTCACGATACCGCACCCAAGATTCCAACACAGGATATTTGGTCTCGTATGAGAATACATAAACATCTAGACTACTGAGCTGGCTGGCATTCAACGGTGCTAATTTCTAAATTCAACCAATTCTTAACTGTAGTTTAAAGAACAACTTTGTCTTTTTTAAATAATTTCTAAATCACATGTATTCAGTTCCATGATTATTTCTGTTTAAAGTATAAGCAGATCATTCAGTAAATGTAAAATAACATTAAATATTCAAATACCTATCTAAAATAAACAGAAAATTTGATTCTTCAAAAATCGGAATTCGTCAGTAATGAATATACTATGGACTCATATATGTGCACTACTGAAAAGCATCAAACTACAATGAGACAGATAGTGATTAGTGATTTACGTGTTCATGCCATGGATGAACTTGATACTTTCAAACAAATTGATTATTGGGTAAACCAATAATAGTATATATGTATTTCTGTTACAACACAGTGAGTAAACTAATTGTATTTCCGACGTTTCGTGACTTCACGTAAGGCACTTCTTCAGAGTAAATAAATAATCGAATTTTACTCTGATGAAGTAGCCTACATGAATTCACGTAACACCGGAAATACTATTTTTCTACTCATTGAGATTTAACAAAAAATACTTATTATTGAATGGTTGGCAGTTTTGTAACAGACAGAGAAACATAAAACAATTTCGAATTGGAATAATCATGAATAATGTAGAGAACAATTGATAGCAGTTTGCCAAAGGACTATTCAATGTATGGTATCCAAATTTTAGAAAAATGTGGTTATCCCCACCTCAGTTCTCATCCACTACAATGGTAACACTAGTAACCTCATGTAGTTAAGTGTATTGCACTAAAACACATTTATAATCAATAGTTCTACTTAGTCACTTAAATTTTATTAAGTCAAGATTTATTTTGGACAACTGATCTAAGGATTGAAATTCAATGTCTTATACAAATCGGACACATTTTTCGTATGAGTTTTATTGTGTTTTGTGCTATTGATGTCGACAGATATAAGTAGTATGTATCATCAGTTTAATGTTCCCGTTCACTACAGTATGATAAAGCATTTAAGTACAATGTAATATCTTTTTGTCTTCACTCTTGGTTGTAGTAAACATTGAATAACATCTAAAGCTGACCATTGTTAGATTATAAATCATAGTTTACGCTTACTAATTAGATCATATATTAAATTATAGTATTCTACTATCAATCAAAATGAGAAAAGGTATTCATTTAGGTTCATTTTGTATATTTGTTGAGGGGAATAAAGGGATACCCACATAATTAGCGCTTTACACTAATCATTTAATATGTCATTTTTGTACAATTATATTACTGTGTAAATATTTCAAAAGATTTACAAATTAATATCAAAAGGGTTTTTTTGTGAATATTATAGTCATTTTAATAGTTAAGATCATGAGTCAATTGAAGCTAAACCAACATGGAAAACCTGGAAGCACTGGACGGTTGTTTCGTCCTACTACGCACTGCTCAGAAGTCTTCCAATACTTTTAGGTTTTTCATGGTGGTCTAAATTCTATTGACTCATGATATTAACTATTAGATTTAAAATTGTTTGATAGGCTATTAAACTACCTCATTTTAGAAACCATAAATGCAAAATTATAATCTTTTTATGATTATAAATAACTGTACAACTCGAACCAAGTTAATCAGTGTAAAGATACTATTTTATCGATTGAACCAAATCAGTAACCGTTGAAATCAAGCAATAAGAATAATTCATTTAGAATATTGAAATAGAATATAATGATATAAACCCGTTTAAGTCGTGAACAGTAGTTTATGTACAAATTTCATGGTTGATTACAAGAAAGTACCTGTGTCAATCAACTCATTGAATCTATCTATACCTAATCATATGAATGGTTAATTCGTTACAAACAAGAAATTGTATCGAACATTTTGCCAAACAAAAGTTTTTACTTCATAAATTCAGTTAGTATTGTTTACTTGAATCTACCCATTGATCTTTAGGACTAGTCAATTGATCAGTCTCTTATTGGTATATATGCATCCTGTGCGTATTACCTCGATATTGCCTTAATTCACAAGTATTTTAATCAAAGATGAATATTAGTTGACATTGGAATCCAGGACAAGTGTTTCATCCTATTCGAGACTCCTTTGCAAATAACATCAAATGAATTTAAATTTCATTTCATTCCACAAGCAAGTAACAATCAGGACTCACTATCTAAAAATAAATAATGCAATTTTTATTTGAAACAAACGATTATGAGTTCAAGTTCTAGAGTGAACATTAACTTGTGAAATACAATTACAGCCAACTGATGACGAAACGCTCATCCTAGATTTCACTACTAATGACTATCCATCTTTGCTTATAGTTTTTATGTTAAAATAATATATTATTTTTTAAAAAATAATAATAATAAAACAAACATATTTCACTTACACCCTTTCCTATTCTCTTCTCTATTTCATAACGTTTCAATATATGCGGTTCAAGTTCTGAAGACATGTATAGTATTTGATATATTTACTAAAATAATAAAAATATCCAATATATATAAAATGATATACATTAATATAATAGATTCTAATTATATAATAATAATAATAATAAATTACATTATAATAATCATTCATTCTATGGACTATTCATTGAATTTTTATTGGACAAAGTTGTTATCAATATAACTGTTTTCTGATTGGTTTAAAATATTCAAGGTTATATTATGTAATATTTATTGGTTGCAATAATTTATTATCTTTAAAATTACAAAAAAATTGTTTTTTCAATTTTTTTTCTAATCTATTAACTTTAAAATGAAATAATATTTAATTAGATTGTTATTAAATAAGTAAATATGGATAGTGATTAGTAATGGAATCTTTATTTGACAATTGTCAGTTGGAGATATCTGTAATTCAGAGGTTGATATTCTCTATGAGATTCAAATATCAATCAAATATGTATTGAACATTATGTTAAACAACAGTTATTACATTATAGTTTATGCGTTAAGACAGTTTGTTTGTTTGTTTTTTTATAAATAAAACTATTATTTATTTATTTATTTATTTATTTATTTATTTTAACACATAGATATTGGTACAAGGAGGCACCAAATACATATGCGCCATGCAAATCTCATTTGATTTGTGTGAAGACTGTGATACTGCCTGGGTACCCAAACCGAAGCAAGTGGTTTTTTTAGGGGCCCACACCCGGAACCTTCGACCTGAAGATCTGATCCACAAGGCAGTGGAGCATCGTGAGGAGATTCAGTCTCATGGTAGCCGGTGACCGACAATTGGTTTGTTCCCTCAGGATACTGGAGCTCATGTGCACCATTGGTTTGGGATCCCGTTAAGGCGCCGGACATTCGCTTTTCGTCCTCTTGTTTTCGTAAACAACTCCCCCGCCACGAGAGGGTAGTGAGTAGGACTTCCCTGACAGAGGCTGTATATGCGTAGCCGTGTAAAACATTTCGAGAGGGAGGGCAGGTCCACTCCACTCTCGGTAATATCAGGGCATTTGGGGGCATAAATAAAACTAACAAACTAATTTATAGGCCACTATATCGGCGGACATAAAGAAATCAAAAGAAGTAAATGATTTGTAAGATGAAGAAGGGATAGACTGGATAAATTCAAAAGAACAGTGTATTGTTATATGTTGGAATTAATTAGATGGTGTAACAATTGTAGCAGTCACTGCATCAGTAGGCCTCAACATACACAAGGGGAAAACCAAGATTCTCGATTACAACACCGAGAACATTAAAATAATCACACTTGATAGTGAAACTTTGGAAGATTTAGAATCTTTCACGTGTCTGGACAGCATCATCGATGAACAAGGAGGTTTAGATGCAGATGTAAAGCTGAGGATTGAAAAATCAAGGGCCGCATTCCTACAATTGGAGAACATATGCAACTCAAAACAACTGTCTGTCAACCAATATCAAAGTCATAAATTTCAATACGAACGTCAAGACAGTTCTACTCTATGCAGCTGAAACTTGTAGAACTACGGCAACCATCATCAAGAATGCACAAGTATCTATAAATAGTTGTCTATACAAGATACTCAACATCCATTGGCCGGATACCATCAGCAATAGTCTTCTGTGGGAGCGAACAAATCAGCTTTCAGCTGAGAAAGAAATTACAAAACGACAATGGAATTGGATGCGACATACATTACGGAAATCCCTATACTGCATCATAAGGCAAGCCCTTACTTGGAATCCTGAAGGGTTTGACGGATAGTGGTGGTGAGCGGCTTATTCTCCTCCACGAGGAGTAACAGGCGTATGTAAGTAACTAACATTATAGTGTGAATGGAATACAGTTAAATTATTTAAACCGTTTACTATATATTGTATCATTTAAAAAAACTTTGGTATGCCAGGTTCAAGATTCAAGGGTGAATATTTCAAAGTTCTCTTATATATACCCAAGAGAATAGAGCGCAATTAATCTTCATATATTTTTTCGCAGTTTCAAGTAAACATTGAGATTAGTTTATGTTTTACACACACAACTTGTTAGTCCAAATTCGACGATTGTTCAATAGAAATAATAATCAGATTTATAAGCAAAGATGGACGATGACTTATAGTGGAATCTAGAATGTGCGTTTCGTCTTATTTGGGATTCATCAGCTTAATGTACTTGCATCTCAGAGTTAATGTTCACTCTTAAATTCGAACTGAGTACCGTTCAATTCAAACGTCATTACGTTATCCACTTAGCTACTTAGGGCAATATTAAGGCAATACGCACAATATGCACACATACCAATAAGAGACCAAATCACTTGGGAAGATACAAACAAACAATACCAAGTGAATAAACAGATTAATAGAATCTGTTTCACAGGAAAGTTAATCTATGTTTGTTTGTCTTTTTTTCAACTCAAAAATAAATCTCCCATTTCTTCTTGTTTTCAGTTATATTAGTTTTATCGAGATGATTATCCATACAATTACATCATTATTATAAATAACAATCTATTATCACTTTTCATCTTCATTATTTCATAGGTTCTATTGTCAAGAGTAGGATTTGAACCTACACTTATTAAGTGGACTGTGACTTAAACGCAGTGTTTTGGATCACTCAGCCATAGGTTAAGAAAGAAATAATCTTAATAACAATTTCATTCATTGATATAACTTTTATAGAGGTAAAGGATTCTTAACATCATTTGTGCAATATTGTAATGATACTTTATTTAACGTGCATTCAAACTGTTACTCAGTCAGTCAGTCAGTAACAACGTGGAACTTGGTACGTAAGTACATCAGTTCGAGTTTGCCACACCACATTAGCACAGATATGCAGTTATCCATTCAAATCCTGTAGTGATAGAGGTAGTGAAAGTATAAGTAGTGAAAGGGAACATTAGGGTTTGTAATGTTATTTAAGGAGTATCATCCAGTGGAATAGATTTGGAAAGAAGATAAAGGACATGAAGAATTCAGAAGATTAGAGTTTGAGAGAACACAGAGAGTGGATGCACCTGAGCCATTGCAAACGATTTTGAGCCATATCATTCAGGGTTTTGATAGCTATCGTCTCGCGGATCCCAACCAAGTGTTCTACACTTACCAACATGGCTCAGTCTACTTGACAGTGACTTCATGGATTTGTGCCATGTTTTGGCCCCTAGCTTTCTTCCAACCTAACATTCAAACTGTAATTCTTGAATAATTACATTTTACTATATCCAAGTGATGATTAAACGACAGGTAACTTCTCAAAGCTATTAATGGGCAAGTGTTTTACATATTTCTTTTATTATAAGCTTCATGTTGACCTATAGACTATTATGATATGACTTCTTATTCTTAGATTATATTCAGTTTAGTAATGACACTCTCACAATGACAGTCATTTTGGCTCGATCTTTTATAAATGTTATTTCCTTTTTTGTGCTGTGAAATGATCTATTTAGCTGGTATATAAACTCAGTATGTTTGAAATACATGATTTGTATCGCGGAGGATGAGATTAGTGGTCCGGACTAAATAGTCAGGGCTAGGCAGAAAGCAGGTCCGATAAGGACTCTAGAATGCTCGTACGGGTTTACGTGTCATTGGTTCGATAAATAACTCTTCTCTAATTGGCGATATTATATACGGATAGGGGTAACAAGGTCACCTTAATTCATTTGTAAAATGTCAATCACACTTAGTTGTACTTTCGTTCCCACATCAATCTCGTTCCTTTTTATCCGAACTTTTTAACCTTCTGCTACCAGGCATTTGACTTTCAATTGATGATTCATACTACTTATATCTGTCGATATCAATAGCACAAAACACAATAAAACTCATACGAAAAATATGTCCGATTTGTATAAGACATTGAATTTCAATCCTTAGATCAGTTGTCCAAAATAAATCTTGACTTAATAAAATTTAAGTGACTAAGTAGAACTATTGATTATAAATGTGTTTTAGTGCAATACACTTAACTACATGAGGTTACTAGTGTTACCATTGTAGTGGATGAGAACTGAGGTGGGGATAACCACATTTTTCTAAAATTTGGATACCATACATTGAATAGTCCTTTGGCAAACTGCTATCAATTGTTCTCTACATTATTCATGATTATTCCAATTCGAAATTGTTTTATGTTTCTCTGTCTGTTACAAAACTGCCAACCATTCAATAATAAGTATTATTTGTTAAATCTCAATGAGTAGAAAAATAGTATTTCCGGTGTTTCGTGAATTCATGTAGGCTACTTCTTCAGAGTAAAATTCGATTATTTATTTACTCTGAAGAAGTGGCTTACGTGAAGTCACGAAACGTCGGAAATACAATTAGTCTACTCACTGTGTTGTAGCAGAAATACATATATACTATTATTGGTTTACCCAATGGTCAATTTGTTTGAAAGTATCAAGTTCATCCATGGCATGAACACGTAAATCACTAATCACTATCTGTCTCATTGTAGTTTGATGCTTTTCAGTAGTGCACATATATGAGTCCATAGTATATTCATTACTGACGAATTCCGATTTTTGAAGAATCAAATTTTCTGTTTATTTTAGATAGGTATTTGAATATTTAATGTTATTTTACATTTACTGAATGATCTGCTTATACTTTAAACAGAAATAATCATGGAACTGAATACATGTGATTTAGAAATTATTTAAAAAAGACAAAGTTGTTCTTTAAACTACAGTTTAGAATTGGTTGAAGTTAGAAATTAGCACCGTTGAATGCCAGTCAGCTCAGTAGTCTAGAGGTTAAACGTTCACGTACAAGACCAAATACACGGAGTCCGAATCCTACGAACGGAATGGTCTATGAGCACTGTTGAAAAGTCCGATACTATACGAAACGTTTATCTAATGCCTCTAGGTTTTTCATAGTGGTTTAGTTTAAATGGACTCATGAATTTAGCTATCAAGTGTTACAATAATTATGATTATGAGTCAATTGAAGCTAGACCACCATGAAAAACCTGGATAAATTGGATGACCACTTCCTTGTATTGTAAGAATTTTTATCAGTGCGTAATCACGATCTCACTTTGCAAAATTTAAACCCATAAACCTATTAGTGTCGTTTGAGAGCGCTAATTATTACTGCAATCACCACTTAAGCAAACCCCCCTCCTTTTCAAAAAAGAAGTGTATATACATATATATATATATACCATTTCTAAGGAGACTTTTTTTGTATTTTTTAAATAAATAATTTGTAATAAATCTTAAATGAAATTTTAAAAAAATACAAAAAAATACAAAAAAAAACAATCCGAACATAACACTTTTCGTGAAAAAGTCAAATATTACTGATTCAGATAAACCCTTCTTTTGTTCATCTTTTTGTTTTTGCTGTTGTTGTTTTCGTTGTTCTTCTTGTTGTTTTTTATTGGTCCTGTTGTTGTTATAGCTGGTTTTGTTGTTGTTGTTACTGTTGTTCTTGTTGTTGTTTTTGCTTTTATTGTTCTCCTTGTTTTTGTTGTTTTGATTTCAAAAGATTTTAGCTACTTTATGTAAATTAAGTAGTATATCTTATAAAATATATTTTTTACCCAATTATATTTTTAAACATGAATTCAGGTTAGTCATTCTGTAAATTGAAGTTTAAAGTGTTATCACTGGTCTGAATGATTTCAAATAAAATGGTTGACAGATTGTTACTAGAATTATAGGTTATTATGTTAAATTCGTTATAAGAATCTATTATAAGACAAGAACATAATGCATTATGAAATGAACTGAATTCATTTCATTTAGTCTGCTCTATATCAACAAATTATCTAGGGTTATTAATTTTGTTTTTTTTTTATTTATTTCTTTGAACAGATCATGATATGAATTAAGTGTTCAGACTATTTTATAGATATTTTTTTTTTGAAAAAACAAAAAATATTTTTTCACAACATTTCACTATACAACTTATATAAACAAACTAATCAGAAATATTATGGTTGGTAACTAAAATATGCATAACCCTATAATGGTCAAAATTAATCAATAATTCACAATTTTTCTCTATTTTATACAAATTAAAAAACAATCAAATTAGATACATTATAATTACTGATAAATATATATTGAAATGTATATACATTATTTAGATATCGATTCTTGAATTGAGCATATCTAATTGACAACTGTTCAATAGTTATCATCATCATGATCAATTATAAAGTAAGAAATAGGAAACATTCGCTGAAAATGATTCTAGAATAATGTATCAATAAAAAATATATATAATATTGAATAAAACTAATAATAACAATAATAATAATAATATATTCTCATTTGTACAAACATGAAGTATAATATTCATGATTACATCATTTATTGTAATCTATGAATATTGATTATTTATTTATTTTTTACTTGCCGAATGGTGAGGAGATGGAAAGGGGAAAAGAGGGGGGATTGAAATTTGTTTTAATGAATAAAAATAAATAATATTTTCATAATTTTACATTTTTAATTGTTTGTTTTAATGAATTTGTTTTTATTAAATGAGTATTTTGATATTGATTAAGAAAATTTGTCATTTTTAATGAATCTAATATAATTGGTTTTGATGATGATGATGGTGGTGGCGGCGTTATTGTTCTTGTCGTTGTTGTTGTTGTTGTTTGAAGTAATTGACCAGTTGTATATATCTAGAAACAAAAATGAAAAATGGAATGAGGAAATTAAATTGTTAAGTGAATAATTTTAAATAGTTGAAATCATGAGTCAATTAAAACTAGATCATGGATGAGCACTACTGAGGAGCCCCACAATAGGACGAAACAGCCGTCCAATGCTTCCAGGTTTCCAATGGTGATGGAACATTAATCAGTTCATGATCTCAATCTAAAACTAGATCACTGTATATATCATGAGGCATGTGCTGATTTAGAATCTTGAAATGGAAAAGAAAAGAACAAAGTCGAAGAATACATTGCATTTGAATTTGGAAACAGATAAATAACAACTGGAAAGAACTGGAAAGGATTGTCTAGGACAAAGTTGAATAAAAAATGTTGATGGGTGGCTTATTCTCCTCCATAAGAAATAACAGAGGTAAATAAGTAAATAAGTGAAAAACAGTTTGTTCCCGCCTAGTCAAAAACACACGTACAAGAACTGACATACATTCAACGAATTATCATATAGAACATATATTGTTAATTCTCATCTTGTATGTAATAATTTTCATTTGTAATTTACTTGTCACATTCTATCTTCCTTTAATTCATAGACTGATGGAATTTTAACTGATGTCAGTTTATGATGAAAAACCTAAATCAAATTCTTAACCCTAACCATTAACTGTAAATCATAATTTCAATTCATCACAATAGTTTATAACCCTCATTTAAACGTAGTTAGTAGGTGAATATTCTCAATGTTACTTAAACATCACTCAACAATCGACTATAAATTATAGTCTCACCGCTTGTTGTTATACATTTACTGACTGTTTAAACAGTATCTAAAAGTGAAATCACTAATATAAGTTTTGTTGACTTTTTTTAACCAGTTACTTTTCACATTAAACCTGGTATCATATCAAGTTAGCACAATGAAATCCCGAAAGTGTATAAGTGATAGAAGACAATACATCAAGAATAGATATGATTAACAAGGCAAAAATATTAATGATAATAAAGTAATAGATATTGGGCTTGAATTTCAATATTAAAATATTAATGTTAATCTATTGGGTACATTCAATGGACAAGTCTTAAAATTTGTATTCTAGTTTCCATCAATAATTATTATTATTATTATTTTGATTTTTAGAGATAACACTTTCCTCATGTTGCTTCAGGATTGGGTGGCATCGACACCCGAACTAGTGATAGGGAGTGAAGTAGTTGAGCGTGTCGACCGCTTCACTTATCTAGGAAGTCTCATCAGCTCTTGTGTTATGGTGTGTGACGAAATCTCATTACGGATACAGAAGGCTCGACTAGCTTTTGCCAACTTGCGTCATTTATGGTGTAGGCGAGATATCTGTCTATCAACCAAAGGACGTGTTTAATAAGCAGCAATTTGTTCCGTCCTACTTGGTGGCAGTGAAAGATGGCCAGTAAGAGTAGACAATATTCGTAGGTTACTAGTATTTGATCATAGGTATCTTCGAAACTTTGCTCCTATATCCTAGGAACACCCGGTAAGTAACTCAGTTGTTAGGAAACGGGTACTAAGTAAGGATGGCAAATCAATTGATGAAGTAGTGAAACTTAATCAGTTGAGATGGCTGGGACATGTGTTACTAATACCCAACCACCGACTGCCTCAATGTGCAATAGTCAATGGTGTAGGAGTTGGTTGGAAGAAAGCTAGGGACGGTCAGACCAAAACATGGCACAAATCCATGAGGTCACTGACAAGTGGACTGAGCCATGTTAGCAAGTGTAGAACACTTGGTTGGGATCCGCGAGACGTTAGCAATCGATGGTTAGAGACCTTGAATGACATGGCTCAAAGTCGTTTGCAATGGCACAGGTGCATTCACTCTTAATGTTCTCACAAATTCTAATCTTCTGAATTCTTCATGTCCCCTTCCGCCTAAACTTTTATTATCTCTACCACTATGGGATTTGAATCGATAACTGAATCTCTATGCTTATGTGGTATGGCAACTCAAACTGATGTACGTAAGTACGAAGTTCTACCTTGCTGACTGACTGACTGATTAACTGATTAATTGATTGATTGATTAATTGAATATTTTAATAGTTTATATTCTTACTAATAAAATTTATTATTCACATTCATACTTGATGATTAATTGAAGTATGATTATTTGATCCAGTACAAATGGCCATAGATTTATCATTAATATTACAATATGTATCTAAGTTATTTTTTGTAGAATTGAACCTTGTCAAATATGTTTGATCTTTATATTGTTCATGATTATGATCATTATTATAAATAGTATTTAATGAAATGAAACGATTATGAAGTTGTTTAGTAGGTAAATGTTGATCTGATTGATCACTCATATAAAGTGTATTACTATTATTATTATTATTATTATTATTATTATTATTATTGATTACTGTATGCATTTGATAATGTTGTTCATTTATTTTAAATTGATCCTGATCATTCAATGGAACTAATTCAGTTTGAGATCGTTTTATTGATAAATTTTCATGATTGATCAATGATGAAGGATTTGTTAAAGTATATTGTTTAAATGATGTTGTAATTAATTTTTGATTTAAATTAAGCTTAAAATTAAATAGAAAATAATAATAATAATAATGATTACATTTGTTTACATGATTACATAATAGATATAGAATAGATCCAGTGTTCATCTTATGGTTTGTTCTAATAAGGTATGGCAATTTGAACTGATGCAAATACATATATATATATACATATATATATATATATATATATATATATATATATATATATATGGTCCTATGTTATAGCTGACTGACTGACAGATAGAATAGATTAATCACGATGACTATTAGTTTAAAGCTTGAAACTTCAAAGTAATTCACACTGAATTTGTTATCAAGAGTTAATTGAGGATATTCATGTTTCATGACAATCATAATCGTGTTATTTCAATCATAAAGTCATAATTTATTGATTCATGTTTTTAACGTTTATTAACTGTAAAATTATAAAGTTAATATCATCAAAAGGTATTTATCAAACTTTTCTACGGGATGAAGTCATTAAGCCATTGCTCAACCATTCTCCTTTATACAGGTTTGAGACCGTCAGTAACCCCAAAGGTGTTCTAGAAGATCTATGCTCCAATTGAGGTTACAGAAGTAAGTAAGTAATTTTTCAAATTTCTGGTATGGTTGGATTTTACATGTTGTAGTGTTATAATGATATTGCAAATACGAAGTCAACGCAAACTTTTTTTCATGATAAAGAATTCTTGAAATAATGTAGTTTGATTAAATACCAGTGAATTTATAATTGTAGTTCAGAAAATCTTTTAATTTATTAGGGTTAGCATTTGAGAGGAAGGATCAGATAGCTGATCGGTCGTAGATGGAGTTCCACAAGCGTGGACATCTAAGACCGTACTAAGGATCAATCCCTGTGCAATAAGCGTTTAACCTCAAAACTACTGGATTGAAATCTAATGAGATATATATGTCTAACTTATGTTGTCAAACAATGGTTCTTATAACTTATATACTCACAGTTAAAAACTGAATTTAACTATACAAAATTCACAAAATCCCCAAAATTTTGATCTACTTTTATATATAATCAATGTTGAATAATTACAAACCTGTAGCCAATCTCTACATAATGTCTGTTTTACCGAAGAGACGTACTTCAGTCCTAACTTTTCCGTTTACTATATAGAAATTATATTTTCCTTCAAAAATCGACAAAACTTGAGACCTGATCAAAATATGAACCTGAAATTTTCTCATATGTACATTTTTTTAAGCCGCTTAGTTGAACAATTACAATTAAAAGGTAATCATTAGACCTCTGAGAATCATCCATCAAAAATTGGAGCCAATTTGTGATTTCAAAAGATTTTAGCTACTTTATGTAAATTAAGTAGTATATCTTATAAAATATATTTTTTACCCAATTATATTTTAAAACATGAATTCAGGTTAGTCATTCTGTAAATTGAAGTTTAAAGTGTTATCACTGGTCTGAATGATTTCAAATAAAATGATTGACAGATTGTTACTAGGATTATAGGTTATTATGTTATATTCGTTATAAGAATGTATTATAAGACAAGAACACAATTCATTATGAAATGAACTGAATTCATTTCATTTAGTCTGCTCTATATCTAAGAAGGTGAAGAAGATTTATAGAACAGGTGAATGATTTTGGTGAAGTTTTGTTCTCTGAGCTGGATGGTTTGGTCGTGGAGCTCTCATCATTTTCCTGAACGACATCATCATCAGCACAAACTTCAGGTAGAAGTGAAGTGTTCGAATTTCTCCACATGTGGTCCACAGCTGTGAAAGCTCCAAGACCAAACCATCCAGCTCAGAGAACAAAACTCCATCAAAATGCTTTATATCTTTTGCATAATCGTTGATACGCCTAAATAACTAGAATGATTTCGAACCTAATTTCTTAAGAAAATACCATTTTTTGAGATGGTAGAAAAGATTTGTAGCTCAGATGGATGATTTTGATAGAGTTTATGCTAATGATGTCGTTCAGAAAAACGATGAAAGTCCCACGATCAAAATATCCAGCTCAGAGAAAAAAACTCCATTAAAATAGCATATTTCAAATCATTCTGTTTACTGTAATCAACACATTTTAGAAGCGCTTACGACACTCAGTTACTCCGAAGACCCTCACTCGATTAATCCACTCACTAATACATTAAAGTTGTGTCAATATTAGGAGTATTTTCTTTGTATATTACGCTTAATGAAATGAATTTAAACACGTTATATATAAGTTTATATTGATTGATACAAACCAGTTAGTATGAAGTGGATTTGAAGCATATTAAATGAAATTATAACAATTCATCTTACAAAGTTGTTGTTCATGTTTTACTCAAATCTTTTGAAGGAACTAATTACATTATATGAGATTGAACGATATACCTGTACACTTAATGTATAGATACACTTGCATTTACCTATCAGATCTCTGAGAAAAATGTAATGCAGCAATTTACCTATTCCTATAATAAAAAAAGCTAGTGACTATCGGGAGTCAGTAGCTAAGTGGATAACGTGAAGGCGTTTGAAGTGATCGGTACCGGGTTCGAGTGGTGGAGTGAACATCAATTCTGTGATATACAGGTACATCCAGTTGACGATTCCCAAGTAGAACGAAAAGCGCTTCCTAAATTCCACTGCTAGCCAATATCTATCTTAGCTTAAAATGCTTGTGAATTAAGGTAATATCGAGGCAATCCACACAGTATACATATATGCCAATAAGAGATTGATCAATTGATCAGTCCTAAACATCAATGGGAAGATTTAAACAACTTATACAAAAAGAATTTTAGATATATTTGTTTTCCAAGATTATAAAAAACATACCGAAAAACCATAATATGTGAACATTAGTAAAAAGTCCGATACTATCGAAATTTTCCAGGGATTCATTCCGAGATACGTAGTTATCATATATAATCCCATGCTCTAAGACATATCTCATACGTTCTCTCTGAAGAACAAATGACGTTACATAGATATCTTAATCCAAATAGTACGTGACAACTGAAGTTTTTGTATTTAAAAATTGTTTTACTACTCTTTCGAACTTATGAATAATTAGTTATTTAATCCCACACCCCCTCACACACACACACCCTATCATCAAGTATACAATTTAATTGAATTTGGCACAAACTGACTTTGATGAAATATTCACTGAAAACTAAGAGGAACTGAATAGTTATTTCGTTCTAATGCTCATTAGCGGCCCCAAAGCGAACAGTCTAACATAGCAACTAATAGGTTATACTACTAACTTTAATCTATTCGCAGTAATCTTAATATAATAATTACCGATACCATTGTGTTATTTAAATTAAAGTAAGTAACATTAACACCATTGGATGCCGGCTCAGTGGTCTAGTGGTTAAGTGTTCGCGCGCGAAACCAGTAGATCCTGGCTTTGAATCTCGTAAGGGGCGAGATCGTGAATGCGCACTGCTGTCCAGTGCTTCCAGGTTTTCCATGGTGGTCTGACTTCAACTGACTCATGACCGTAATTATTGAAATTAAGTAAAGTATAGCCGAAAATGTTTCAATTAGAAACTCTCTATTTCATTTTCTTCTTTTTAAAAATAATTTTTATATCATAACTCACATTTGAATCATTTTCATCTTTTGTTGTCTTTTGATAATTGTAATCATTAGTTGATTGATTAATTAATTGATTATTACCATTATGTTTGGATCCATTATGATCTGATGAACGTCTTCGATAATTGTGTTGTTGCTGTGGTTTCTGTGATTGCTGTGGTTGTTGTTGTTGTTGTGATGGATTGTTATGAAATTTTGCTTTAAGATTATTTAAAGATGTTGATATTTTTGATTGAAACATTGAATTTTGAATATCTGTTGAACCTTGAATAATTTTTAATTTTTGATTAATATTCATTAAAGATAATGATTCATAATTGGATTGAGTATTAGTATTATTATTATTTCTCTGTTGAATAATGAGGAAAAAAACAAAAAAACAAAAAGTAATCGAACTGTTTTAATGTTTAATAGATACAAAATTTCAATAGTTCAGATTATGAGTCGATTGAAGCTAGACTATCATGGAAAACTTAGAAGCACTGAGACAGTTGTTTTGTCCTATTGGGAGACTCTTCAACAGTGCTCACCCACGATTCTGTCTTACGAGATTCGAAACCGGAACCTATTGGTCTTGTGAGTGAATATTTAACCTCTAGACCACTGAACTGGTTAGTATCCAATGGTGTTAATGTCTAACTTTAATTAATCCACGAAATTAAACAACATATTCACCAATATCTTCATCAGTGAGTTACTATTTCACAACAGACCCATTTGAACTCCTTTGGCCACTGCTTCTCACTAGAACTCCAGGATATACCTCTTAAAGCCAGCCACTAGTGAGCACATGTTGATTAATATCAGATACAAAATTGTTACATATGGATGAAGAATTAGGTCAATAGTAACCGCTAGGATCTATTTGTGAATTAATATTGTGTCTTTCAATTTCGTGGATTGGTTGAATTTAGACATTAACACCGTTGGATGCTAACGGGCTCAGTGGTGAAGAGGTTAAGCGTTTGCACCCAACATCAATAAGTCGTGGGTTGGAATCTTGCGAGGCGGGATCGTGAATATGCTATGCTGAGGAGTCCCATACTAGTACAAAACGGCCATCCCGTGCTAACAGGTTTTCTATGATGGTCTAATTTCAATTGACTCATAATCTCAACTATATTATTCACAAAATCCTCTCTTGTACGTATATTCTAATAAGTAACTATATTATATGAATATTTTTAGTGACCCAGGATCTGGGACTCCAGGTAAATTGTATTGGTATTGATATTGAAATAAATAGATATCACTAATCCATGTATATAATCGCTGACTGAACTCGAATTAGTGTATTACGGAACTAAATAAGTCAAATACGAGAATGGATTTCGATTATGTATATTTTGTACAATCGTTGATTCGAACAGACAATCAGAGAAACATAGCGAAGAAAAGAAAGGAGAGAGAAAGAGAGAGAAGCAAAACTAAATGACATGCTATGGAGAAGGCATATAAGCCAACTCTATTTAGCCATGCGTTAATCAATATTTATGGTCACACAAAAGTAAGTTACAGACAATGTGATGAATGAGAATAAGAAATGCACACACACATACACTAACATAAAAACAGTCAACTTTGATAAGTGAATAATTATCAGAAGAGGTTTTGTGAAGATAATAGTAATTTTAGTAGTTGTAATCATGAGTCAATTGAAGCTAGACTACCATGGAAAACTTGGAAGCATTGAACGGCCGTTCCGTTCTAGTATGAGACTCCTCAGCAGTGAATAATTAACAAGATCAAAACATGACTCCAGAAGAATAGATAAATTGGCCCGTTCAAAATCTAGAATAAGCTGTTTGAGCTTAGCATAGTAATCGACTCAACGGTCTGATTTATTTGTATATAAACCCACTGTGTCTAAAATGTATGATTCGTATTCTGGAGGATAAAATCGGCGTTTTGGTCTGAATTGGCTGGGTTAGTGGAGAAGTCACTATCTCGGAGAACAAATATGAACTCTAAGCTGCTTGTGTAGTGAACAAGAACACCAACGGGAACAATCGAATATATTTAAGCACATAATTACAGAGTATTTCAATAAAATCTAAGAACCATATTTTAAGTTGTTAATTTGCAAAATATCAATCCATCATATTAAACTTGACTGTTCCTGTTGCAAACATCAATCCATTGTCTTAGATTTCATTGCTCATGCGTTTTCATACCAATTGCGCTTCGTTCCCGTTCTTTCTTCATCGACCTTCTACTGAAATACATTCTATGCCTGGCCACCGTCATATACTACTCGTGTGGATATAAGTAACCCACACCACACTTGTACTCATTTATACATCATTAATCTGGTCGTATAAGTCGGTTACTAGTTAGAGATCATATAATGTGATATATTAACCTGGTCATAATTACATAACAAAAATAATTAATTATTAACGATGAAAAGAGATATGACTAAATGTTAACTAGCATCATTGTTTGCTTAAGAGATGATTTGAACAGATTAAATTAGATCTAAAGAAGTTATTTTATTACTTATACAAACGTCAAAATAGTTATACTGTATAGGGCTAAAACCTGGAGAACTACGAAAATCATCATCCAAGAGATACAAGTGTTCAATAACAGTTGTCTACGCAAAATACTTCGGATCCATTGACCAGACAATATCAGCAACAAACTGCTATGAGCAAGAACAAATCAGGAAGAAGCGATGAAAATGGATAGGACACACATTGAAGAAAGCACCCAACTGGGTCACAAGACAAGCCCTCATATGGAATCCTCAAGGCCAAAGGAGGAGGAGATGAAGACCCAAGGACACATAACGTCGAAAAACGGAGACAGGCATGAGAAAATTGGACAAAAATTTGATAGAAATGGAAAACAAGGCCCATGACAGAGTGGGTTAGAGAATGCTGGTCTATGGCCTATGCTCCATTGAGAGTAACAAGCGTAAGTAAGTAAGTAATATATTCATCAAGAAGTAACTGAAATTTATATTTATCCTTTAAAGTATCTATATTAATAAGCAAAGACGGATCATGTCTAGTAGTGGAATCCAGGAAGGATGTTTCGTCTTATTCATGACTCGTCAGCTGGATGTACTTACATCTCAGAGTTGACATTCACTTTGAAACTTGAACTCAGTACCGTTCGCTTCAAACTCCATCGCATCATCCACTTAGTTACTGAATCCAAACAACCGCTGATCATAATACATGTGCTTTAACGCAATACCGAGACAATCCAAACAAGATGCTTATATACCAATAACAGAATGATCAAATACAATCATACAATCATAACAAAAATGTATGAAAACTTTAATTTACTTTGTTTTGTTGAAGATTAGGGAAATATTGATTTTTCAAAGAGGTTTCATCAATTGATTGTTTTATTGAGTTTGGATAATTGAATATGTTTTCTTGATTAGTTCTATTACTATTATAACTGTGATTACGTGTAATTTCATCGATTGATTTATATGAAATAGCTAAAAGGATGAATTAAAAAGAAAAGAATATTTTATTAAGTTATTTCTTTATTTGAAGAAGTGACATATTTTGAAAGGGGTTCCTTATCATCAGTCTTTATGTTCTCACTACATAACGTCAGATTTGAGGTTTTCAATATTAAGTACAAGTCAGTTATACAACCGTTAACGCCCCCAAATGCCCTGGTACCGTTGAGAGTGAGGAGAGTCCGCTCTCCCTCTCGAAATGCTCTCATATGGTCACGCGTATATAGCCTCTGCCACAGAAGTCCTACTCACTGCCTTCTCGCACTACGGGTGTTGTTTACGAAAACGGGAGTACGAAAAACGAATGTCCGGCGCTTTAACCGGATTCCAAACCAATGGTGCACATGGGCTCCAGTATCCTGAAACAACAAATGGCGTATGAACCAATCGTTGGCCACCGGCTACCATGGGACTGCATCTCCTTACGATGCTCCACTGCCTTGTGGATCAGATGCTCAGGTCGAAGGCTCGGGGTGTGGCCTCCTAAGAAAACCACCTGCTTCGGTTTGGGCACCCGGGCAGTATTACAGCCCTCACACATATCCAATGAGATCTGTGTGGCGCATATGTATTTGGTACCTTCTTGTATCAATATCTTTGTGTTAAAATACAAATACAAATACAACCGTTAACATAGTAGTGACAGACATAGCAACAAACATTAGAAATATTTTCATCTAAGACATGGTTACTCGGAAACTCAAAAGTCGAAGGTTTCCTTTATGAATTCATGTATATTTTGAGTAAAAAAACGTAACAATAGTTAAGATCATGCATCAATCGAAGCTAGATCATCATAGAAAACCTAAAAGCATTGAATGACCGTTTCATCCTATTGTGGAACTCTTCATTAGTAGGAGTGATTTGTGATCGTAAAAATAACTGAATAGAATAACTTACTATTGTTATGTGACTTTACAATGCCTATAGTTTCATGCATGAATAGATATAATCAATAGTTATTTTAATAAAGTTAGATTTTAGTGGCCCTGAAATATCTGGATCGAATTTAATCATATTATAATACTCGTATTTAATCATCCACTTAACTCACGTTAGTGAATAACAGAATTATATCAACTACGAGAATGAAGTTTTGATTAGATACATTTTGTACAATCCTTGATCAGAACAGACAATCAGGGAGACGGAAAGAGTGAAGCAAAGAGGATAGATTGAAGTCAAACGAATTGGAGAAGGCATGTTAGCCAACTTACTTTAATTAAGCGTTATTCAATAATTATAGTCAAATCGAATGAAGTCGCACAGAGGTAAGGCAAAGAATGAACAAGACGAAACGAAGTAAGGCAAAGACTAAGCAAGGCGAAGTGAAATAAGGCAAAGCGATGCAAGGCGAATAATTAACAAGGTCAAAAGTGACTCAAGAAAGATGAATAAATTGATCTGTCAGGAACGTAGAATAAGCTATGTGGGCTTGACATGGCAAATGACACGACAAGATAGATTAAATCAGCTGACGGAAAATATCAAGAGTAGTTTTCATGTCTCTGATTTTTAGGGAAGTGATACTTTCTGTGGAATTTTAACGCAAATCATCTTGCTTCATAGTTTGAGATGCTTTGTCTGAGTTATTCAGGTAACGAGTGGTCATTTGTGCCACTGAAATGTTCACACTGATTTAGTAATAGTGACTAACATTACATTTGTCTAGTTGGTCGGTAGCACTCGATAAACAATAATCCGTGTCGGGTAGAGACAGGGATCTATCTCAGTACAATGGAAGATGGTCGCACAATTTCGTAGATTGGTTGGTGTTAGATACTAACAATATTGGATGCCGGCTCAGTGGTCCACTAGGTTAAGCGTTCACCCTGAGTTCGAACCCCGCTGGGCGGGTTAGTGGTTGCCCACTGCCAAGGAGGAGTCGCACAATATGACGAAACGGCCATCCAGTCCTTCCAGGTTTCCAACGGTGGTCTAATATCAATCGGTTTATGATCTCAATCAAAAGCTTAATAAGAACTTTAATTGACTGAACATTTTCAAACTTGTTAAAGAACTAGAACCATTTACCTATTGTAAAAAATCTGCATCTCTCTATATTCATTTCTGTGAAACTCACTTCCTCTTTAAAAGATGTTTCCATAATTTGATAGAAGTAAAGCATAAAACTATATCTAATAGTTGAATTCATAAGTCAATTCAACATAGACCATCATAGAAAACCTGAAAACATTGAACGGCTGTTTCATCTTAGTATGAGAATCCTCAGCACTGTGCACCCATGATTCCTCCGCCTCGAGATTAAAACCCATCATTCAATACCGGTCGACTTTCATTATATTATATATAACAATGAAAATGTGACAAAATAAAGCATCTTATCAACTTCATGATCAACATAAGAATATCCATTCATTTTGTCTATTGCTTTTAAGAACACATTTTGTATTCTTTTCTTGTTTCAATATTCAGTATTTTTCTAACGAGCTGGTAAATATCATATGAATTCTCTGAGCTCGTTTAATATTATAGTATGGTTCTTAGAAGTTATGAACTGTTTCAAATATCATTCTCAAGTTTATTGAAGAACATATGTAAAGTTATAATTGTAATAATAATTGTTTTAAAATGATGGAAAGTCTTCGAAGACAATAATTCCATTCCCTATCGAATGACACAGATTCAAAAAGTCACCGCCAAGTAGACTGAGCCATGTTGGTAAGTGTAGAACACTTGGTTGGGATCCGCTAGACGATAGCCATCGATGGTTAGAGACCCTGAATGACATGGCTCAAAATCGTTTGCAATGGCACAGGTGCATTCACTCTTAATGTATTAACAAATTCTAATCTTTTGAATCCTTTATGTCCCCTTTCGCCTATACCTTTATTATATCTACCACTATGGGATTTGAATCGATAACTGAATCTCTGTGCTAATGTGATAAGGCAACTTGAACTAATGTACGTATGTACGAAATTCTACGTTGTTGCTGACCGATTAAATGCTTTATTGTTTATACTTTGTTCAGAAAGGTTAGATTTTTCATAAATAATGTAAATAACTAATCAAAGAGTTTTTATCACACACATTTCACTAAATTTACTATTACATCATAGATTTTAAAAATATTGCGTTTAGATGGTTTTTCCACATGTCTTGATAAAACACCCATGAGCATATTGACATTATTTTTATTAATATTTTGTGCTACTTATATTTGTTTAAGTAGTAACTTAAATAATACTAAACTTACGTTCAATTATAGTTCCTTTAATATTATTAGATATATTATTTGTTGACTGTACAATATTTGATGGTAATTCACTAGTAGATGATGATGATAAAACTTTTGAAATTTCATTCTTACACTGATTTGGACTAGTTTTATGTATATTACCATTTAATAAATTTTCTTGAATATTTGATGTGGAACAATATTTTTCATTAGAATTATTCTTACAATTTTCATATCTGTAATTTGTCCCTTGGAGATAATCATACTCATGATCTATGGGTAAATTTTCTGGCTGAGATGCTATATGACGATTTTCATGTCGTTGTGAGTAATTCAAATCAATCCTTCTTTGTGAATTTACCTTATTTTCAAAAAAAATTTATTGAAATACAAAAGAGTAGTTATTAGTTGAGCTAAAGATGAAATGTAAACGATCAGTTGACAGTTAACACTGTTGGATCCCAGCCGACTCAATGGTCTAGAGGTTAAGTGTTCACGCGCTAGACCGAAGGTTCTGGATTCGAATCTCGCATGTGGGATCATAGATATACACTGTTGAAGAGTCCCATTCTAGGACAAAAAGGTCGTTCATTGCTTCCTGGCCTTTAATGATGGTCTGATTTGTATCGAAGAATGATCTCATTGAAACAACCACTGATAATAGAACGTACTTGATTGCTATTACACCCTTGTGTGAGACCTCTATAGAATAGTTACTCACGACTAATTGGAATCAATCAGTATAGTGAAGATATTCCATTAAAATTATGCTAATTGTAAGATAATAAGGTTCAGAGTTCCTTAAATCCTAATTAGATTCATTTCATTGGTATTAATTCTAGGAACAGGATCATCTGAATTTATCTCTTAGGAAACATTAGAACTACGATGAATTACCTAGAATGACCACCTGATTTTTTATTTATCAATTCGACTACTGTTGTGGAACAAGTCAAATTGGTCAAAGTTCTAGGAATTTACAATTTCGTTCTCGTGAACACCTCCCAGTGTGATTAAGTAAAGGTCTGATGAAATAAGTGAACAACTCGATATTGGTCCATTTAGTACAAACTGGTCATAGTCCCAGTATAAACCAATCCTTTATTATGTCAGTAATCTTTTTCCAAAGCTTGTCAGATTTAAAGTCTTTCAAATAACTGAAGCAGTAACCATCCAGATGAAGACACCTGAGCTATACATTCAAAAGAAATATCTTCAACTACTTCTTTTCCCCTGATCGAAAACCTCAAGCTCAATTAATCAATAGTAATCTTAGCTATCAATTAACTAGTCAGGAAGATATGTTACTTAGACTTAGGAAATAGTTTTATGAAGTTTGATGATAAATGTAAATGGATATTTCTATCTTTCAGTCATTTAACAACTTACATTAGTGAAGAGTATTCAAAAGGTTATTATAGTGTCGGTTATTATGTTAAACCCATATACTTTATTGTTGCTTTCGGACAGCCCATTTCTATTCATTCTACTTGAGTCACATTCTGACCTTGTTAATTATTCGCTCATCAATCTTCACTGTTTTTATATGAGCGTATATATGTGTGTACACCTCTTATCCCATTACTCATCACATGTCTGTAACTAACTTTTGTGTAACTATAAATATTGATTAACGCCTGACTAAATGGAGTTGGTTTAACGGTGTCGCTTCGCTTCGATCTATTTCATTCACTTTGCTCTATTTCATTCACTTCGCTCTATTCCATTCGCTTCGCTCTATTCCATTCGCTTCTCTCTATTCCATTCACTTCATATACAAATCATATTTATTCAAAAGTCCATTCTCGTTACTTGACATATTTGATTCCGTTATTGACCAACGCGATTTAGGTCGATGATTATTTACGAGAATAAGCGACATATATATTTTGATGGAGCTTTGTTCACTGAGCTGGATGGTTTGGTCGTGGACCTTTCATCGTTCTTCTGAACGACATCATCAGCACAAACTTCAGATAGAAGTGAAATGTTCAAAATTTCTCCATATTCATTTCACAGCTTGTTCTGTACACCTCGATGTTGATTGGTTCTTATTGACCTTAAATTTGTCACTGTTTACTTCTTTGTTTTGGTTGTGTCTCCTATTGGTTTGATTCTTGTTCCTATATTCGTGCATAATTTTCTTGATTGATTGATAAATTAGATCGATTTCAATATGTTCGTTGATTGCTGATTGATCTGAATGCCAGGCTTCTAAAAATTCTCTGGTGTTTTTGTAACCTCCTCTGACCAAGATTTCCACATTTTTCTAATCGAATGAGTGTGCGCAGTTGTCCACGTGTATTGATATAAGTGAGGAAATATCATGATGTTTAACTGCTAATTGATGTTCATGTAGGCAATGGTGAAGGGGGTATCCGCTTTGTCCGATGGAGTTTTTTTCGTAGTTGGCACAATTTATTTTGTAAATGATGTTTGATTTATCTTCTTTTGTTATTTCATCCTTTGGTTTGCATAGAATTGATTGTAATGATTTTGTCGGTTTGTGTGCTACACCTATCCCGAAGGTTTTTAGCAGTCTCGTTGCGGTTTCTGATATGTCATTTATGTATGGTAGGGTGATCCTTTTGTTGATTTTTGTGCTTGACTTGGGTTCTGATGCTGCGTGTTCTTTGTATTATTTGATATAGTTGATTGGGTAGCCGTTGTTTTGAAATAGGTCTTTCAGGTATTTCTCTTCCTTATTTCGTGCTGCCAGTGTGCTACAGTCTGTCCTCGCCCTCTTGAACAAAATGTGTACGCAGTTGATTTTATGTGCTCTTGGGTTGTTGCTATTGTAGTTAAGAATTTGATCTGTATGGGTCGGTTTCCTATATACTTGAGTTTCTAGTTTTCCTGTGTCGATTCTAGTGATGAATATATCCAAGAATGATAGTTTGTTGTTTGACACCTGTTCCATTGTGAACTTAATGTCATCCAAGACGTTGTTGATCAGCTTGTAAGTGTTTTCCAACTCGTTCTTTTTGACGATGACAAATGTGTCGTCTACATAGCGAATCTGAATTTTTGGCTTGATCACTAGTAATAACCAATCAACATTGAGGTGTACAGAACAAGATGTGAAATGCATATGGAGAAATTTGAACATTTCACTTCTATCTGAAGTTTGTGCTGATGATGTTGTCGTTCAGAAGAACGATGAAATCTTCACGACCAAACCATCCAGCTCAAAAAACAAAACTCCAACAAAATCATTTACCTGAGCTACAAATCTTCTTCGACATATATATTTCAATAACAATCATTCATGCAATCTACTTAGAATCAGATCCCGGATCACTAAAGTGAAGAGCCCGTCAATAAACATCATTCAATCTAAATGATGACAAAATAAAAGCACCCCCCCCCCACAATAGATTATCATTCAACAAACATAAACATAAACACTTACCATAACATTTTCAAATGAATTACTATAATTAGGTAATAATGAATATTTATCTGTTCCATTAGCAGTAAAATAATAATAATAATTTGATGTTTTAATTCGTGAATTGGAATTGGAATTTAAACTGGAACAATGTGAATGTTTTTGTTTATAATGGTTGCTATGACTACTGCCACTACGATTACTACTATTATTATGATGATTATTATTATTATTATTATATTGATTTAATCGACTATATGATTGTTGATTTGTAAGTGTAGTTGATGTAATAATATCTGATTTAGATATGAATGAATTTGGATAACATAATGGAGTAATTGTTAAATATCTAAACAACAACAAAAAAAATTGTTAAAAACAAAAGGCCTCAAATAAGTAAAATGTAAAAGTATTATTACGTAATCATTTGCAATACTTGGAAATACATTGAAGTTAGTTACTATGACAATATCAACTTTAGCTAAGATAATCATAGATAACAAAACAAAAACTGCATTGAACAACAATTTCATCCTATCAGTGTAGGGTGCTCACTAAGACTCATACCAGAAATAAAACAAAGTTCAGTGTATCCTGGGTTTATACTAGTTATCTATCTAGAGCTATCAACATTTTTTTTATATTAGCTTAGGCTAAAGATGTTTACATACTCAATCAGTCAGTCAGCAACAATGTGGAACTTTGTACGTACGTACGTACGTACGTACGTACATCAGTTCGAGTTGCCATACTACATTAGCTCAGAGATGCAGTTGTCGATTCAAATTTCATAGTGATAGAGTTAGTAAGAGTATAAGCAGTAATTGGAAAGATTAGGGTTTAAAGATGTTATTCAAGGAGTATAATGTGGTGAAATAAATTTGAAAAGAGGAAAAAAGGGATATGAAGAATATGTTTACAATAAGTTTTATTGTTGTTATTGTCAAAGGAAGGAGTAACCGATGAAGTTATATTAATCAAAGTTACTTTATTATGAAGTTCGATTCCCGGATGGAGTTTTATACGATGAGAATAAAGATAAGCATACTATTCAACACCTTGACTTCTGAATAACATCTTGGTATTTACTGGTATGAGAATCAGAATACAGGTGTATATAATACATTCAAACAAATTCCAAATAAGATAAAACTCATATTCAATACCTTACTATCAGTCATCATCTATATGTATAATCAACTTGTAAATATTGACAACAGTTTGTCATTTATTTAAGAATTTTATAAAATTCACTTTTCAATAAACATCTTATTATCAGAAGGGGTTTTGTGGAGATTGTAGTAATTTCAATAGTTGAGATCATGAATCAATTGAATCTAGACCATGATGAAAAACCTTGGAGCGCTGGATGAGCGTTTCATCCTATCGTGGGACTCCTCAGCAGTACGCATCCATGAGCGGAATTCAAACCCAGGACCTATCAGTTTCGCAGACGAGTGCCTAACTACTAGACCACTGAGCCGGATGGTATCCAACGGTGTTAACGTCTGACTTCAATTAATCTACTAAATTCAGAGGCACATCCACCATTATCTTCATCATTGAGTTACTATCTCACAACTGACCCGGTTGAACTCCACCGGTCACTGCTTCTTATTAGCACTCCAGGATATACATCTGGTAGCCAGTCACTAGTGAACATATGTTGATTAGTATTAGAAGTGGTTTTTCTGTGGAGATTGTAGTAATTTCAATAGTTGAGATCATGAGTCAATTGAAGCTGGACCACCATGAAAAAAGTGGAAGCAGTGAGATGGTCGTATCTTCATATTGTGGGAGTCCTCAGAGTTCGTACGCACAACCGATAGGCCCTGGATTCAAATCTCGCGGGGCAGGATCGTGGATGTACACTGGTGGAAAGTCCCATAATAGAACGAAACGGCCGTCTCAGTTCTCACAGGTTTTCTAAGGTGGTCTATGTTCAATCGACTCATGATCTGAACTATTAAGATTAATAGTTTATTTTATCACGTAACTAACCTTTTCGATGGCTGATAATCATTCATTGTCATTTTATTCACTGAATTCGAACGAATTACTGGACTATAATGAATAGTTGATAAGTTTGAATTAACCTTAGAATTTTGAGATATTGATCGTATTTGATAATGCTGTTTTGATTGAACTGTTTTAGCTTGTGCTGTTACGGTTGTTCCTGTCAAAGTCGGTATCGTCGATTGTAGTGATAATGATGCTGATCGATCAAGTACATCATAATTATCATTATTCACATTCTCATTATAATCATAATCATTAGTATTACCATTAATCTGATGACTATCGTGTAATTGATTGGCATTATTATTGAACCCAGTAAGATTACAATTCGTATTATTACAAATGCCATTAGCTAATGACATTGATGTTAATTTCGGTGTTAAAATTGCCACTTTATCATGATTATCATTGATTGAATGATTTTGTGGCTCTTTATGTAATAGATTCACTTGTACACATACCACATGATTTTTTTTATTAGACTTGGTGTTGTTGTTGTTATCGTCACAATGACCCTGAGGGGTGTTCTTTTGATTCGATTGTTGCTGTTGTTGTTCCTGATGTTGATGATGATGCTGAAGATCTTGTTTCTTGATTATTGTTGTTTGATTATTTGAAGATGGATGATGATTAGTAGTAGATTGCTTCTTATTATGTGAATATGTTGAGTAAGGAATGGGTTGAGGAATCCCAGTAATTATATTTTTTCTTTCGGTAGGATTTGTTTTGTTGATACCGTTCTGAACCATGATTGTTGTTGTTGTGTTAGTTTTCTTAGAACTGATCATCTATGGTGATGATGATAGTGATGGATAGAAAATAAGCACATGAAGTAAAAAGCGAAACAAATAAGTAACAGAATCGAGTTAAATATTTTACACATTATGACAAATTCATTTCGTGAAAAAGATGATATCAAATACTGTTACAAGCATGATGGTAATTTTCACTTCCAGATTGCTCACACCACCTTCAGGGATACTTCCTCTTAGGGGCCATTCAAAAGAAACTGGTTTTCATGTCATCTTAAAGAACTGGAGCAGTGACCTTAGAGCACAGAAGACAACTGCCTAACTCAAGTCACATACGATCTTCATGTAAATAGCCTTAAATGTAATATCTCTGGGATCTTTAACTGTTACCACCGACAATGGATATGTGTAGGGCAAGATGAGTTGTGTCGCCTTAAATTCAACCTCCTCTAGCTTTCTAATTACATTGTTAGGAGACAAAATCATCGGGAATGCTGGTTGTCTTAAGAGCACACCTGATTGTTTTCAAGTTACAATACAGTTGGCTCCAAAATCTCTTCATCAAATTTTGTGTTTTCTGTATTCAACTTGAATGTCCTACATTCAAACTGCATAGAATGATAAAGCCTACCAAAGGGATGTTCCAGCCAATAAATCCTGTTACTTATGCCATATCTTATGTTCATTATGACTGAGTGATTTACTAATTTAAATGTATAATTCATAACATTCAGACCTTAAGAATATTGATCTAGACGAACAAACTCTTCATTGATAGCTGATGTTGAATAATAAGGCACCATACAAACCATTAATACTCGATAACTAACTACTATGTTTCATGTAGGTGTACTTCACAAAAGTACATTACTGTGATTGTAAAAGTTATAGAATTCAACATCTTACATTGTTTCACCCTCACTCCTGTCATTAAGTTAGAATCCACTGAACCATGATCTTTTACAACTTTAATCAATTCAAAGTCGCAAATAAGAAGATAGAAGACCAGTGAGAAGGAATGCTACTTATAGTTTTTTCTTTGTAAAAAAACCGAATCATCATTATAGTCATCTAATCCGCATACAAAGGAGGGGGGTAATTATTTATCTAACAGAGAAGATATACGTAGAGATTCTCGAATATTCTTCCAAAAGATGATTGGATGGAATATCTTCGGCTCTTTTTGAGCTTCTTAAAACTAGACCCGTTAGCCATCTTCACAGCACTATTGATCAATTTCCTTTAAAATTTTTAATATTCACTATGTTAGTATTTACCATAAACGTAAAAACTATCTAAGCTTCTATGAATATTCATCAATATTAGAAGGTACAGTTTCATAAAAAAATTGGGCACTGAGAGTATAATGATGTCGTTATATATGAAACAATCTCATTGATTGAAATGTAGAATAATTTCAATGTTTCGTCCAGTAAACTTGGCTGAACTTCTTCAGGATAATAATCATAATAATCAATCAAAACTATACTGTGTTAATTCAATCATATTTAGATGTTGACTTTAGTCAATAGGATAACATGAGTTAATTAAATGTGAATTATGTGAATAGTTCACAATATGGGAATAAATGAATGAATTGTATGTATATATATAAGAGTGAGTTATTAATATTCACTTGGTATTGTTTTACTTGTATTCTCCCATTGTTATTTAGGACTGTAATTGATCAGTCTCTTATTGGCATATGTGCATCCTGTGTGAATAGCCTCGATATAGCCTTAAGTCACAAACTTTTTGAGTAAAAAGGGATAGTGGCTAACAGTAGAATCAAGGACGCACGTTTTGTCCTATTTTGGAACTCATCAACCGGATGTACCTGCATTCCAGAGTTCATTTTCACTCTGGGACTCAAACCCAGTACTGTTCGCTTCAAACATCAACGCGTTATCCATTTAACTATTGAGTTTTGATAGTCATCTGCTTGTGCAATGGGGAATATTAGGTGTTAATATATGCAAAGGTTTAAAAATTGTTTCTGAAATATTGATATACATGTCAAATGAGAATTATCCATTACATAATTGTATTGCTAAAATAACCCACAACAATATAACGATGTTTATGAAATAAATAGGTTGAAGAAATAATGGGTCCAATTATTCATTGAATATCATCCTTTCGGTTCAGAATGTTCTTGTTCACCCACATAAATATACATATACAGAGCTTTTGATGGAGTTTTGTTCTCTGAGCTGGATGGAGAACAAAACTCCATCAAAATCATCCACCTGAGCTACAAATCTCCACATATACAGAGCTACTGTTGTTAATCTTTCTTTATAAGTGTTAAAACCTTTCTGAAGTATTTTGATCCCTTGAAAATTAATCTTGTATCCTATTTTTAACGCATGTAACGCTATCGCAGACATATTCTCAAGTTTCTTTAGATCACCCAAGAATTTAGGAACATTTTTCAAATATTATTTGTGTTCATTCAAACTCACATTCAATTGTCTGGAAGTTTCTCCCATATAAGCTGAATTATAATCATGACAGTTGATCTCATAGACAATATTCTGTTGTTCTTTCTTTTATGAATCTATCTTTAACTTTCACTAATGCTGATCTTAAAGCTTATTCATTAAACTATTTATAATCATATAAACGCTTCTAAATTATCTGAGAAGATTGTCAACATTATGCGGAACTCATACGACGGATTACAGTGCAAAGTAGTGCATGGAGGACGGCTGACAGACGCATCCCAAGTAAGGACCGGAGTCAGACAAAGCTGTCTACTGTCTCCCTTCCCTTTTCTTCTGGTAGTCGACTGGACCTTAACATCTGAGGGAAGACACGGCATACAATGGACAGCTCAAAACCAATTAGACGATTTGGACTTCACACATGACCTAGCTCTCCTATCCAATACACACGAACAAATGCAGACAAAGACAGACAGCATAGCAGCAATCTCTGCATCAATAGGCCTCAACATACACAAGGGGAAAATCAAGGTCCTCAAATACAACACGGAGAACGCCAATCCAATCACTTTTGATGGCGAAACTATGGAAGATGTGGAATCCTGCACATAACGGGGAAGCATCATCGATAAACAGGGAGGTTCAGATGCAGACGTAAAGGCGAGGATTAGAAAGGCAAAGTCATTCCTTCAATTAAAGAACATATGCAACTCAAAACAACCGTCTGTCAACCAATATCAAAGTCAAAATCTTCAATATGAACGTCAAGACAGTTCTACTGTACGGAGCCGAAACTTGAAGAACTACAACAACCACCATTAAAAAGGTACAAGTATTTATAAATTGTTGTCTACGCAAGATAATCAATATACAATGGCCGGATACCATCAGCAACAGCCTTCTGTGGGAGAGAACAAACCAGCTTCCAGCTGAAGTGAGAATCAGAAAAAGACATTGGAAGTGTATTGGACATATATTACAAAAATCATCAAACTGCATCACGAGGCAAGTGCTAACTTGCAATCCTGAAGGGAAGCGGAAAAGATGGGGCTCAAAGAACACATTACGTCGGGAAATAGAATCAGATATGAAAATGATGAATAAGAACTGGGAAAAGCTGTAAAGGATTAACTAGGACAGAAGTGGTTGGTGAGTGCTAGTGAATATCACTTACTTGATATAAACGATCACGATATTCAGAAACAGTTAACTGTATATTATCATCTAACGGTGGAGTAACATGATGATTCATGATCATTATTTCATTGGGAGAATAAAATCTTTGAAATGATATCGAAAGATAAAGTAAAAGAAAAGAAAGAAAATCAAATAAGAATGAAATAAATACAACTTAAGATTACACAATATTATAGTGTAGGTCCAGTGAAATATTACTGATCCCTAGACAAACCATCTAGTAGTTGGGACACTAAATATCGAATAGATCATCGATCCCTGTCAAAGTCAAAAACAACCAACACACATCAGTTAATCGTATACCATGGACTGGTCCATGAGGTGGTAGTCTCACTAACTCGAGTAGGCCTTCAATCATTGGACATAGATCATCTACGTTGGTGATCCACAATAGGAATTATTTGTCAATATTAGGCATTCATTAACAAAACTTATTTGAAATAATCTGAGTTGGTGTTAAGTTATAGGTTTCTTTTTGAAGTAGTTGAATGAAGCAACCATTATTTCTGTAGCATTTAGTATTCTGTTTACTTGCCTATATGCAGGCAGATAAATTATTCTAATCCTTCCAATCATTCTATCATTTATGCATATGAATTCAGATATGTGTATATGATTTACTTACTGGTATATCTTTTATGCTTAGAAATATTGAGTCACTCATTATTCATTGACTATTCATCTTTGCCTCTTTCATATATCATCCATTTGTGAATGAGACTGTGCTTAATATTTTTTTGTTGAACCCAGACTTTCTGATCATTTTTCTTTTGATTTAGTGAATGAGTAACAAATATTAGAGGGCAGTTTTCATTTAAGTCCTTATTTCTATCCTCTGGAATCATCGGCTACAGTCTGTTATGAAGGAGTTATTTTAGAGCAGTCTAACATACCATATAAAAAGCTCAAGTATAATAAGAGTTAAGAGTTGAAATTAAATTCCAAATGAAAATTAAACAATCATAGAGTACTCACAAGTTAGATGAACGAAGAGATGATCAAAAATATGGAATAAGACAAGTCTATGAATAACCTTAAACCCAACTTAGTAATGGAAAACTAATAATGATTCTTATTCCGTCTAATGTTCCCCCCCTTTACTATCGAGTAGTAGATTAGTAGTCACTAGAGGTTTGTACTCCATTCGAATAAGATTTGGATCTAATGTCAACATCGAGATAAATTCTTCTGACGAATCTCAGATTGGACGAAACACATCATTAGTCAAATATACTACAATAAAATGGTTAGTTTTCGTTTTTTAAAAAGAAACGGCATAGAAAGTACCTACCTGCGAACATATGGATGTTTTAAAGCTTCCAATGCTGTAATACGTTTATGTGGATTGAAATGTAACATTTTATACAAAAGATCAGTTGCTGTCTTATCAACATTGATTAATAATTGATCTAATGAACGGCGATTTCTAAATGAATTAAATAAAGAATAAAAACAATCAAATGTGTGTTAAGCATCAAAACAAAAGAGGAATTGCTATAATCACTTAAATAATTTATATAAACCGTCTATATTAACAATAAATATAAGCTAACTAGAAACTATTTCAGAAGGTGCCGCCAATTACTGTGGTATGGTTGAGAATGGGGAGAGTCAACTCTCCTTCTCGAAATGCTTTCACATGGCCACGTGCATACTACCACTTCCAGGGAAGTCCTACTTACTGCCTTCTCGCGGCATTACTATTGTTTATGAAATTAAGAGGACCAAATGAGAATGTCCAGCGCGGAAACCGGGTTGGTGGATGTAAAGGATCCACCTTGGGGGGAGTTGGAAAACCCTGATTTAAAACGAATGGTGCACATGAGCTCCAGTATCCTGAGAGAACAAATGGCGTATGAACCAATAGTTGGTCGACGGATACCATGGGATTGTATCTCCTGAAGTTGTTTCGCTGCCTTGTGGATTAGACATTTAGGTTGAAGGCTCCGGGTATGGCTTTCTAAGAAAACCGCCTGCTTCAGTTTGGGCACCCGAGCAGTATCCCAGCCCTCACACAAATCGAATGATTTATGTGACACATATCTATTTGGTGCCACCTTGTACCATTGTTTATGTGTTAAAATAAAATAAATAAATAACTTCAGGAGCTCTATTAACTCATGTCCTGTGAAATTCAGCCATGTATATTATGAAGTAGTTACACACCTATGAAATTGCAAAACATTCACTGCCCTTATTCGCTTCCCCTCAACTCTTTTTTGAATTAAATTTTATACTACTTAAATAATTTTCAATAAATAGTTGTATTCCTAGCAATTTTTACGCCTGTTGTTGTGTAATATTCTGAAATATTTACATATACTAATAACACTTAATATATTTATGATTATAAATACTTTATCTCAGTTACTGTAGCAGTTATTCACAATTTTGTGCATTTTTTGTTTAAACGTAATAGTTTCCATATTGTTTTACTCTTGGTTCGGTTTTTGTTTGTTGATAAACTGTTACCAAGTTTAGACATAGCTAACAGTGGTTAGTTTTGCATTATCGGAGCCTTTTTCAATTCATGTAAAAAGACTCAGTAAGCATCATAGATATTTTACAAGTTGAAGTATTTAACTAAATGATGTATACTATTAAATGAAGAACCGCTGTTTTATGAACGTCATATCTCGCATGTATCTCAATTGTGTGATTTAGATGCTTCGATAAACTTAACATTCATAAATAAATAAATGAATAAGATTGAAAATATTCATTAATTACCTGATATGTGCTTTTTGTAAAATCGATGAACTATATGGACTTTTTACACTGGCTAAATCTAAAGATAAAAAAAAATATATAATTTAATGAATTTCATATTTATAATAAGATGTATGTTTCATCTTAATTTGGACTTATCATCAATTGGATATCCTAATTGAAATGCTAGTACATTATAACCAAAGATGAATAGTGGCTAACAGTGGAATATATATGACACGAGTTTCATCCCATTTGAGACTCGTCAGCTTTAATGTACCTGCATCCTAAATAACCATGAGAAGATACAAGTAAGACAACACCGAATACATTTATACTTCACCCCGTTGCACAAGCAGGTGGCTATCAGGACTCAGTGACTGAATGGATAACATGAAGTGAACGGTTCTAGGTTCGAGTTCCAGAGTAAACATCAACTCTGGAATGCAGGTACATCTGGTTGACGAGTCCCAAATAAGACGAAACGTGCGCCCTGGATTCTACTGTTAGCCACTATCCATCTTTGACTAAAACGCTTGTGACTTAAGGGTGTTTTGAGGCAATCCGCGCAGGATGCACATATGCCAATAAGAGACTGATCAATTGCAGTCTTAAATAACAATGGAAAATACAAGTAAAACAACACCAAGTGAATATAATGCTAATACATTATCTTTTAAGCTATTGACTCCAAGTAGTCACTAACTTATCTGATAGGGTGTTATGTTTATTCTTAAAGACTCAGAGTGAATATCACCACTGAGATCTAGGTACAACATTCAAATGATAGGCAATTAACTTTTTGAGATCATGAACCGATTAGATGTTAGACCACCTGCTATAACGCTCGGTTTTACTTCGTCAATTGTCATAACGGTTGAGTTTCCACGTTTGCACGTATCAGACGTTAATTTACCTTTAACGAATATCTACACTAGATTCCCTCCCAGTGTCTATTCTACAGGACTTCAACACAAGTGAAATCAAGAACACGTGATTAGCCTGGCCACAATATAAATATATTTCCACTCCAAATCCCGACACAATCCAACAACAATGAACAATCAATAATAAGTGAGTATAATAATAATAATAATAATAATAGGGGAATATATAACTCATCTGACACCTGTCAGACTATCTACATATCTGACTTAGCAGACAACCAATCATTATCATTCTCACCCACACATTACCATCATTGAAAACTCCAAAGCACTGGACGGCCGTTTCGTCCTATTGTGGGACTCATCAGCTTTCAATGGTCGTCTAACATCAATCAGTTCATGATCTCAATCAAAAAAAAACTTAATAATCTCCACAACCCTATATTAATAATTAACTTTTTGTCAGTTGTTGTTACTAAAATTAGCTATATCAAGGTAACTCATTCAAGATACCAATACACAGAAATTACTCACTGAAATGTATTGTAATTAACTTTTAAATAATCTGAAACTATTTGGTAAATCTTGCTAATTGAATGCCAGATTCTGTTCCTAAGCACTGCTAGTAACCCTCAGGCTAAATCTACATAGCGACTTTAATATAAAAGAAAAGACGCGAAATACAAAAGAAAACGCTTTACACCAAATGTTTGTTTATGTACAGCAAAATCTAGGGGGTTATATAGTACTTTATATGTTCATGGCGTGTCCGGAAATTTATGGAATGCTACTGAATATAGTAGCAGTATAAACTAATCATCTAATTAGAAACTCGATATTTTACTTTTCATTTTCTACATATTTCTGAAAAAACTTCTAGTGAACTCTGATTGGATAAAATGCTTTCAGAGCCTTTCTTGGTTATCTTCGAAGAGTTTTCTGAATCTCCTCAACAGTATTACATAATCCTTTAACCAAAAATAAGCAAAAGTAGTAAAAAAATAATAATAATAATCTGTTTAAATGACTTACCTTCTGAACTAGGTTTAGGTAAACCACCCATAATACGTTCTATTTGATCTAATGTTGATGTACCAGGAAATAATGGTGTACCAATTAACATTTCACCTAATATACAACCTAAACTCCATATATCAACACCTTTTGTATAATCATGACATGCTAATAAAATTTCTGGTGCACGATACCAACGTGTTGCTACATATTCAGTTAATGCAGGTAATAATGTTTTACAATTGATTTTACCATTATTATTATTATCATATTTATTACGACCTTTTAATGAACGTGCTAAACCAAAATCACATAATTTTACTAAACAATAAGAATCCAATAGAACATTTGATGGCTGAAAATGTGTTGGTAACAAAAATATATAAATTAGTGAATTCAAAAAGAGGAGGTTCAAAATTGGACATTTAGTAGATGTGTAATATAATAGTTAGTAATATACAATACTACTATTACTACAGTAGTACAAAAGAACGCAAATGAGGGCAATCGACATTAATATCGTTGGATATCGGCCGGATCAGTGGTTTAGAGGTTAAGCGTTCGCATGCGAAACCAATAGGTCCTGGGTTCGAATCTCGCGAGGTGGGATTGTAAGTTCACACTACTGAGGAGTCCTACAATAGGACGAAACGACTGTTTCAGTGCTTCCAGGTTTTTATGGCGATCTACCTTCAATTGACTTATGATCTCAACCATTAAAATTACTATAATATCCACAAAACCCCTTTTGATAAAATCGAATTACAGAACATTTTAGTAAAATCTGAGAATCATACAGTAAATACTTCATTTGTAAAATGTCAATCAATTCTCTAACACTTTATTGTTCTTACATTTTCATACTGTGACGATGGACCACAGGTGAACTGGAGGAAGTTGTAAGAGGCTCAAAAGGAGTCCAAGATATTCCATCCAATCACCTTTAGGAAGAACATCCTAGAATTCCTATGTGTAGCCTCCCGATTGTTCATACTAAAAACTATAAATACTTGACAATTTGTACCATAATTGACACTGTTTGGAATAATATTCCTTTCACTAATCTCTTGTCTTCTCCTTGAGACTTGGAAGGGTTTTGGTGTTCTAGTGTTCAGTTATACGCGGTATATCAAGTAACAACAATCTAAATATAGCACATACTAAGTGGTTACTGTACCCATTCTTTTCTTCTTGATCTTAGGGAACTTCTTCTGTCAAACATCCTATTCTTGACCGATACTGTTACATCCGAAGAAATTGAATTGTGAGTAACATCTGTTAAGTAACTAGGTTATAAGCTTTCATTTGACTCATCGGCTTCTATTATACGACTTACTATTGTTAAATTATTTCCTAATCTATTAGTTATAGTCTCTCACACTCACAGCCATTTTTTGGCTTGATCTTGTATCATTATTACTTTTTTGTTTTACAGTGTCATGCAGTCTGAGTTGCTTGTACATAAATTGCGTATGTCTGAAATAGATGATACATACAGTGAAGGCTGGGATCTTTCCCTGGACGGAACGGGTAGGGCAAGATAAGGTAAGAAGGACCAATCAGAATTCTGAGTTGACTCTAGACTCCTCATACTGGTTACGCATTAATGGTTTAGCACAATGCCAAATTATTACAAGTCAGTGTTCTAATTCGCAATTTAGTCACGTGATAATCAACAGGGGCAAAAGTCATAACATATTACATTCGAAAGAATATATGAATCATAGAGTTTATTAAAACAGTTGTTCAATTTTCATTTTATTTGTTAGAATTCACTATTTTCATTTATGTTATGAGAATGAAAGTTATAATTTTGAAAAGTTAAGAACCTATCCACATGACATTGATCATCACCCAGTGGTCAGTCAATTGTGATTACATCTTAGTCCTACAGAAGGTCGGTCGCGGCCCGGAGAGCCCACTGGTAACGTCTCTGACTGTGAAGCTGGGTGACATGGGGTCGAATCCGTCAGAGAGCATCAGTCCCCTCAAGATTGCAGGTACATCTTACTGACGAGTGCCAAGTAGCACGAAACCTATGTCCAGGGTTTACTGTTGACTATCTCCAACCACCATCTAATCTCAACATAGTACACACAGTGTCGAGTCACTTAGACTAGTGAACACATTGCAATTTGGTCGATAGCATTCAATCTGCACTAAGAAGGACTTGACACACATGGCATTGATGACCACCCAGTGATCAATCAATTGTGATCCACTTTATTTGTCACATTAATTTTTATTTCTATGTAGTTTAAACAATCTTACTGAACAAAACTATTCAGTACAAATTAGAAGAGTAAATTCACTAAATAATTTTATATTAACAATGAATCAACTACAGAATCGATTAGTGAAATCTGAGAATCATGAGGTAAATACTTCATTTGCAACATGTCAATCAATCATCTCAGACTTCATTGTTCTTTCATTTACACATCAATCACTCTCTATTCTCGTTCCCTTTTCTTCGATCTTTATCTTCGGCTCCCAGGCATTTTAATTTCGATTGATCATATATAATACTCATATCTATCGATATCAGTAGCACACACCATGCTATCAATTCATTAGATCAGTTTATTGTGAAATAATTACATTAATTTATTTACATAGATAAATTTAGTTGAAAGTATTGTAAAAGACATGAAGATGTAAGATCCATACTGTAGATAAGGTTATACAATGGCTTATTAATGTTTCATTATTATTCAGTTTATCTGATTTTAATCAAGTTCATGGAATTTTTAAAGAACTTTTCAACAATGTCATATCTGGAGCATTCATAGAAATACTAACATTTATTTAGTTCAGGTTGATATAATGAATGGATCAGTGTTAGACTACCAATGAAAACCTTGAAGCACTGGATATCCATTTCGTCCAATTATAGGAATACTCTGCAGTGCGCACCTACGATCCCATACACTAGACTCTAACCCAGGACCGTCGGTTTCACGCACAAGCGCTTAACCTCTAGACCACTGAACCGGCTTACGTACTTACGCCTGTTATTTCTCATGGAGGAGCATAGGCCATCCACCAGCACTCACCATCCAATTCTGTCCTGAACAATCCTATCCAGCTCTTCCCAGTTGTTATTCATCCTTCTCATATTTGCTCCCGTTTCCCGACGTAATGTGTTTTTTGAGCCCCATCTTTTCCGCTTCCCTTCAGAATTCCAAGTTAGCACTTGCCTCGTGATGCAGTTTAATGATTTCCGTAATGTGTGTCCTATCCACTTCCAATGTCTTTTTCTAATTCCCACTTCAGCTGGAAGCTGGTTTCTTCTCTCCCACAGTAGGTTGTTGCTGATGGTATCTGTCCAATGTTTATTGAGTATTTTGAGTAGACAATTGTTTATAAATATGTGTACCTTCATGACAATGGTTGTGGTATTTCTCTAAGTTTCAGCCGCATACAGTAGAACTGTCTTGACGTTCGTCTTGAAGATTGTGACTTTGATATTGGTTGACAGACGGTTGTTTTGAGTTCCATATGTTCTTCAATTGTGGAAATGCGTTTTTTGCTTTTCCAATCCTTGCTTTAACGTCTACATCTGATCCTCTTTGTTCATCGATGATGCTTTCCAGGTACGTGAAGGATTCCATATCTTCCACAGTTTCGCCATCACACTGAGCCAGCATGGTTTCATTTTTAAACACTTAAAGCATCTTCCTCATCATCATTTTCATCATTATTATGTCTGATCTGATCACGTTTAGTACGTTCAAGTTTTAAATAAACCACAATTTATTCCTTTAACTAATGTTCCATATCAAATGAGTTGTTGAACTCAAATTACAAACACTTGAAAGTTCATAAAAAATTATTGGTATTTATTCAATGGATAAAGTATTAATTTTTTTAACCAATCTGTAAATGGTTCAGACTTAATGCGATACTCTTCCGTTTACTGAACTATACGGTATGATTAGCTTTCATTAACTGTATACTTTGACTCAAAATCGAAATTGTTCTATGTAAATGAAGTAAATTCAATCACCTCCAAGTTTATTGGATTTCATTTTTATTGATCTCAAACTCAAAATCTGTAATTAATATCTATTACTGACTACCACCTGTATGACTTTAGATACTCAGTTACTTCTAGTAACCATGTGAAATTCTTATATTTTATCGACTCATTTAAGATATGAAGCAGAATACTAGAATTTACAGTTAACAAAAACTATGAATAATAAGTGCCTATGGATGCTGAAGTTAATAACATCAACATAACATCAACAAAACGCTTCTTTTTTAGTTAACTCAAGTTATGTTCATATATTTTACTCCATAACATGCATCACCAATAAGAAAATCAAATATATTATTTAACTACTAATGAGTAGTTAAAATAATTAAACAAAATATACTTACTTTTTGGTCTCGATGTATTACTTCACCTGAATGTAAATAAGCTGTTGCTTTCAATAATTGATACATGATATATTGTTTATGTACATCATTTAATATATTGCCTTTTTTAATTACATTATGTAAATCTGTTTCTTTAATGAAGATATATAAATATATCTGTAGAATAATAAAAGTAATATCTTACCCATAAATTCAAATACTAAATAGATATCTTTATCACTACTTGCACGTATTACATTATACAATCGTACAATATTTGGATGATTACCAAAATTTTGAAGGAATGCGATCTCTCTGAATGTTCTCTATGAATAAAGAAGATGAAAGCAGATAAAATTGGGTGGGGGGTAGTTAAAGGAAATACACTTCAGTTAACAATATACTGTATTACTCTAGCCTACCTGTGCATCAGTTTGATTACGAAATGCATCGAAGATTTTTTTCAATGCAATAATTTCTTTTGTTTTTTTATTCAATGCTTTCCAAACTATTCCATAAGCCTGAAATATGAAAAAAATACCAAGCGAATATTTGTAACAGTTATATTTTTAGATTTTTTTTCCAAGGAATGGTTACAAACATGGTGGATTAGTGATGGGATTGATTCATGAAGTACTTATTCATACATTCAATCTTAAAATATACTTACCATGAAATAACTATTGACATTATCCCACTATTCAATCAAGTGCAAGTTGAATGGGATTTGAATCTTAGACATTGCAGCCGAAAATTCGACGTACTAACTACTAAGCTATTGCATTAGAAATTAATATTAACTAATAACCAATTATATGTAATCACTAAGGTATCTTCAATTCTCAGCATAAGAAAACAATGACAGATTAGGTATATAAAATTGATAATAATCATTTTTATGATATCTTATTACAATGTAACTATTACTGAATAGCTAAAAGTGGTATCCATGGTATTCATGGATTTCAGTTCTTAATTAGTTACTACCAATTAAAAAGCTTATTTGTAGAGCATTAAAACGAACTCATTCTTTATATATCTATGTTAACTAATCCTAGATTTATATAACTTTCCACTAAATCAAATCTACCTATCTTGATATTGGTTATTTGAATCTTACCATTGAGATTTAAGACTGCAATTGATCAGTATATGTGCATACTGTGCATATTGCATCGATATTGCCTTAATTCATAAGCATTATAAGCAAAGATGGATAGTGGTTAGTAGTAGAATTCAGGATGCGCATTTTGTTCTATTTGCGACTGGTCAACTGGATGTACCCGCATCTCAGAGTTGATATTCACTCCGGGACTCGAACTCAATACCATTCTCTTCAAACACCATCACGTTATCCTTTTAGCTACTGAGTCGTTATAGCCACTTGCTTACGAAATTGAGCGAATTTTTAAAATTCACTTGGTATTATTTGTTTGAATCTTTCCATTAATGTTAAAGATTTCAATGATAACCACTGGGACTTAAACTCAATACTATTCTTTTCAAACGCTATCACAATATCCATTTAACTACTAATTCCTGATAGCCACCCTGGTCCACCAGGGTGCTTGGTACCTGTGTGGTTGCGCCACAGGATTGAGCTGTACTATTCAGATTGTAGCGTTAAAGTCTATACGGTGTCTGGTCCCCTTGTGAAGCAAGATTGAGCTGTACTGCTCGGTTTATAAAACCTAAGTCTGAGCGGTGTCTGGTTCTCCTGTTATACGGGGTTGAGCTGTACTGTTCGAGTTGTCACGTGAAAGTCTGGACAGTGTCTGGTTCTCCTGAAAACCAATGTAAATTACCCTGGCCTACAAGGGTATATTATATAACTTGCTTCTGTGATGAGATAAATTTAAATTTGAAAGTAAACATCACCTCTGAGATATAAGTACATTTAACTGATGAATCTCAAATAGAATAAAACGTGAGTCCTGGATTCCACTACTAATCACTTTTCATCTTTGCTTATAACAGTTTTGAATTTAGGCAGTATTTTTGAGGTAAATCTACTACTTATTAGATATTATATCTAATTAATTCAATATTAGCTACATAGTAACAAATAATTTATTTTATCAATGGTATTGTATAGTTGATTTATGATTCTTATTTAATGTTTGACACTAATAGAATAGAATATTCATTGATGTACTTAAACACAGTTTCTGATAAATGGGTTCTATTTCTATGACAAACTGATCATTTGAATTATTATGATTATGATAGATAGGTGAAACTCTACTATTTATATCTATAGTATTATTCAATTTGTTTCATATTTATAACTTTAACAGACTGTTCTCATCTTACTTTATATGTTATTTTTTTTGACCATGAGTCTATGGATTATATATAAGATATAATCCTATGTTACTAGGGTCTTTGATAAACACTGTCTGTCAATCAGTTAATCAGTAACAACGTGGAACTTTATATGTAAGTATATCAGTTCAAGTTGCCATACCACATCAAAATAGACATACAATTGTCGATTCGAATCCCATAGTGGTAGAGGTAGTAAAAGTATATGCAATAATCGGAAAGACTAGGGTTTGAAGATGTTGTTCAAGGTGTATAAACCAGTGGAATAAATAAAGGACATGAAGAATTCAGAAGATTAGAGTTTGAGAGAACACAAAGAATGGATGCATCTGTGCCATTGCAAACGATTTTGAGCCATGTCATTCAGGGTCTCTAACCATCAGTTGCCATCATCTCGCGGTCCCCAACCAGGTAGTCTACACTTACCAACATGGCTCAGTTTACTTGTCAGTGACTTCATGAATTTATGCCATGTCTTGGTCTGGCCGACCCTACCTTTCTTCCAACCTACTCCTATACCACTGAACATCGCACGTCGGGGCAGTCGGTGGGTGGGCATAAGTAGCACGTGTCTCAGCCATCTCAACTGATGAATTTTCACTACTTCATCACTGTAAAAGAGTTCCGTTCTAAGACGGAACAGGTATCCATTGATACCATAGTTTTGAAATTAGTAAAAGTATTACTACAGTAGTTAAGGTCAGACATATACAATATGGTTTGAGCAGGAATAATGAAATCGTGAATTAAAATAATATAGATCCATTTAGAAACTCATGATTTAAACAAAAACAAAGAATGAGTATTTCTGCTTGTTTTTTACCGATTCTGAATCACATCAACTAACATCTCTAACTACTGGTTATGGTAATTGTGTGCATCACAAACATGTAATCAAAACTCAACGCGGCTCAATCCAACAGTAAATGAATCTATTAATAAATGTAATATTGTAGTGTGTGCTACTGATATCGACAGATATAAGTAGTGTATATTATTAATAGAAAGTGAAATGCCTAATCGCAGAAGGTTAAAAAGATCGAAGAAAAGAGAACTGGAACAGAGAATCATTGGTGTAAAAAAGAAAGAACAGTGAAGTCTGAGACAATTGATTGACATTTTGTAAATGAAGCATTTATGATATGTATTGTGACTTTATGACCCGCTTTTTATCACGTAATTTATTCGTCAGTCGGAATACGACTTATTCATTCTTGCACTGCACTAAACCAATGACGTTTAACCAGTCTGATCAGCCTAGTGTCCTTATTGGTCCTTTGCTCGACTAGCCCGTCTAGTTGAGTCCATAACACTAATAACAGCTTCCACTATACGAATCTGTTATTTTAGACATACTTGGTTTATATATCAGCCAAACCGATCGCAACGCACCATAAAATAAGAAATAACATTCATACAAGATCAAGCCAAAAAGCGGCTCTGAACGTGGGAGACGATAATCAAATAACTGAGTATAACGTAACAACAGTAAACTGTATCATAATAATCTACAGGTCAAACTGAAGCTTATAATAAGGGGAATATATATATATATATATATATATATATATATATATATATATATATATATATATATATATATAATCTAATTACTGAATAGTTATACCATAGGAATATATAATTAATATTAGTCCATTAAAAGGTCCCGGAAGTTACTTGTAACAGAATCTTCCACTTGAACATAACAATATGATTCTCAGATTTTACTAGATGATTCTGTAATTTTGTATTCAAATACATTTGGCTATTCTCATTCATCACAGTTTCACTTAAACACTTAATCTATTTAAGAATGATCTTTTTATTCAATGAATGGTCTTCTTTTTGTGGGGTCCGTTTATTTTTGTATAATCATTGATCCAGACAAACGAACGGGGAAACAATACGAAAAGAAGAAAACGAAAAATGACGAGCGGTGGAGATGGCGGGTAAACCAACTTCCCATTTAACCAAACGTTAATCAATATTTATAGTTACACAAAAGTAAGTTACAGACATGTGATGAGTAATGGAATAAGAAGTGTACACTCACCTACGCTCTCATATAAAAACAGTGAAGATTGATAAACAAATAATTAACAAGGTTAGAATGTGACTCAAGTAGAATGAATAGACTGAGCTGTCCGATAGCTAGAATAAGATATATGGGCTTAACATAATAACAGATACTACACTTCGTAAATAAAAATATCATAATCTTTTCATAGGTTTTTAATGAGTTCTTTTGAGACTTCTTCTGATACTACAATAAAGCATAACATCAGTTTCAATATAAAAATGTAATGAAATCTAGAACCATTGTGAAGAAACTTTGATTTTATAATGCGTATCACCAACAATACAATGGAGGTATAGAGTCTAATAAAGAATAAAACTAAATACATCTAGAATGATCTGTTCTACAGCTTATAGTTAGTCATGATTATACAGTATTGAACTGGAGTACTGAATATCATTTATAAGATTGAACTTAATCTATCTCTACATACTCATATATAATTATTAGTGATAGGCAAAATATAAAGTTAGATTCATTTATATACAAAACAGTTTATGAGATCACTTTCATTTCCATGGTTCTAATTTCCTATATAATTCTGTGAACAATAGAGCTAATCCATGTCGAGTAGAGACAGGTATCATCTACATCAACACAATGGAAAATTATCGCACAATTTCATGGATTGGTTGAGGTTAGACATTAATGCCTTTGGCTGCCGGCCATCAGTTAGTCAGTCAGCTACAACATAGGACCAGCCACATATGTGCATCGGTCTATGTTGCCATACCTCATTAGCACAACAAGATGAACACCAAATTTATAAAAGTAGTTAATTTGGTGGTGGTGGTGGTGGTGGTGGTGGTAATATATAAAAGGAAGATTGCGTATAAGGATATAATATAAAAAGAAATAATTAGTCCGTAGAAAGAAAGACATGAAGTGATTTTAATCTCATAGTTTAAGGAAAGACAAAGAGTGTATACAGCTAAGCGATTGTGATCGATTCTGAGCCATGTAACACAGAGTGCCTAATTATTGGTTACGATAGTCACGTGGACCCCAACCAAGTAGTCTGCATCTTCCAACATGGCTAATACTAGAAGTTAGTGACTTGACAAACTGATGCAACGTTTTATTTTGGTGCTTGATCAGCCCAAACGGGTTGATGTCTAACGACATCTCAGCACAGATTCGAAAAGCTCGTTTGGCTTTCACCAACTTACCTCATTTATGGCGAAGGCGAGATATCCGTCTATCAAATAAAGGACAAGTATACTGCGCTGTAGTTCGTTCTGTTCTACTTTACCGCTGCGAAGCGCAGCCATTAAGAGTAGAAGATACTTGTAAGTT